GTCTAAATGTGAAAGCTCTATATTTTTTGGGGAGAAATGGCCCAAAAGAAAATATAAATATGCAAGTGAAAATGAGAAAACATTTGTTGTCCACACCCAATAGCTTGGGTCTTCAACAGAGCTTTCCTGCATGATATGATAATGCATCCGACAATACATCTAGCAATAATACTGTGAACTTATAACCGTTACATGGGGAGAATGCTATTGATGAAACCTGAAAGTAAAAAGTTCATAAACACATTAAAAGCACAACATCTGGTTACGAATGGAAAATATCTCCCACACTTATATATTAAATTCATGAAAAGATATTTCCAATGTATAACTGGATATTGTGGAAATTAGAAAACCGGTGGTTCTCTTTCCCAATAATCAACCCAACTGAATTGTTATATGGGTAGGACCCAAAAGCACAGGCCACTTGAGAGCTTTGTGTCGTTTTCATGAATGGGGGAAAAGGGGGAGTAAATATAAATTGTACTTCCATGTCACCTGTGATAGGAATCTTAACTCTGAGGGGTGTGGGACAAGATGGTTGGTTTTGTTTTGCTTGGTATAAAAAATATAATTATTAATTTAGGCACAAGGAGCCAAATAGAACTCATGAAAATACAAGACGTTTTGCATATTCGATGTTCTTAGGTATGGGAGAAGCCAGATTACTTCAATCTCTTTTTGGATATAAAATGTAATAAACCTTTCATTATTGATTTGGCAAAATTCAAATTACAGTGTAATATCCTTGTAAATATAGATCAAGGTTTGTTCTTCCATTGTAAATTTGTAATGGGTTTCCGGTTTCAAAGGTGGTGTTTGGTAATATGGCGTTGTATAACCGGTTTTTTTTCCAGGTAACTGTTGAGTTCAGATCTGCTACCAACCAGACGCTCCCAATGTCTCAACTGGCCACTATAGCTGCATATTGCAAAATTATATCCCCATAAATGATATTAGAGATACTTCGTATGTACGCATTGTACCGTTACAATAGTTTTGTTGGGACAGTGTTGGAAGCATTTTATTTGGTAGTAGACTAGATCCCTACCGGCATCTATCACATAAGCAATTTTGCTTTGATTGGATTAATCAAATATCAGTATTTTTGTATTATTCTTTTCTTGAATTATATAAAAATAACTTTTGAAGAAAATATCATCTGGATGTTTCTCTTATAGATATTTTGTCTTATATGATCTTAATGTCACCTGACGACGTACTATTATTATTATTATATGAAAATAAGTTTTGAAAAAAATATCATTTAAAAATTTCGTGGAGAAAGGTTTAATATACATTTCGTAACTCAATGGCACCTCATGTCGTTTATCTCTAATAAACAATAACAAATTTACAGGATGCTGTTTGTGTTCACAGAAAATATGTCCTACAGGCCACAGCAAAGCCACGCTGTCATATATCCAACTCAAAAGGAGGACCAAGGAAGAAATTCAAATCCAAATGCTCGAGAAAATGTCTCAAAGAAGCAGCAGTTAGCAAAAGGGTCGGTTGGACGCGGCCGGCTGGACTTACGATGTCCGAAGACAAAATTTTCTAATCTATTCTATTCTGTAGAAGCTAGAATAGACCTCCATGGCCATGTGGCTTACATCCATAGCCCTAACGCCTATTTGGGCTGTCACACGACTCACACTTGTCACTTGTCATCGAGACGTGTAGGGCCCCGAGGGTGTGAAGCTCACGTGGTGGATCAGGAATACAATGGGTGCAACGAATTTAAATCAAAATCACAATCACAATCACAGTCACAAATTCACAATCAGTAGGGTGAGGACAAGTATGGTGCGATTGCACAGCAAGATATACAGTTGAAGTGAAGGTGGGTGGTGGTCGTTTCTAGTCCTTCTCAGTGAAGAGAGAAGAGTGAAGAATGAATTGAAGAGTGAGAGTAGTGTTTTGGAGCTAGCCATCAGTTCCATTATTGGAGTCCCACTTTGGAGACAGCCACTTAGAAATAAAGCAAGCAGACATAGACATGAAGGAGAACTATTAATAATAACACCCAGGACCCAGCCAAGCCCAAGTCATTGTTTGAGACATGTCCTTTACTCGAACTCAGATTCCCTAACTCAGACTTCTGTTTTTGTGATGCATCTCATCCATCACTTTTGCCAGATTAAGAGAGGATTTGCCTAACTGGGAATATGAAACATTAATGTTTCCATTCCAATCCCATTCATTTCAAATATTAAAATTTAATACGCATGTATAGTAAAATTATATAAAAATTAATTAAAACTATATTGTAAATACAAATATAGATTTATGCAGATTTCAAATCCCACTTAATTCCAAACAACTTTAAATTGAGTATCTATCTAAAAGCAATCCGTTTTTGTTTGTTTGTTTGTTTGTTTATAATCTAATTGATTTAGATTAAGCAACATGCATGATGTTTTCAAATCGGATCCCATCCAATTATGGTTAGACATATCATGTTTCTTTCTGTTTTGGATAATTAAAATACACTGCATATTAGTTTGGAACCCATATTTCCACCTTGCATATTCATGGGGTAAATCTGGGCCCCAAAAAACTGATGCCACATGCTCAAAGTAAGACATTTTATAGGATATCCTTTATATTAAAATATTAACCGGCGATTATTAGTCAAGCAAAACATCCAATTCAAGGTTGACATGGACTACTAGCAAGGACCCACGTAGCCAATCAAAGGGTTCACATGACAAAGTCATTTATTGCTCGATCATCAGGAAGCTTCCTAATCAGACCCAATTAGGTTTTCTTTCTTTTAGATCTAATTACTATACTTTTGTCAGTTTACACCCAACCCTTTTGGTCCAACATTCTTCTGCCTGTAATACCCCTTCTATTTAGGCAATTTTCCATCTTTAGGCTATATATATATAGTTATTTTTGATAAGATAATAATTTATCAAAAATTAATTTCCATAATTTATCAAACAGTAATTTTGTGAATGTTAGAAAATTATTTTTGGCAATTAATTTTGTTTAATTTATTTTGGGTAGGTTTCATAATTAATTTTGGTAAATTTGGTGATTAATTTTGGTAATTTACAAAAAAATAATTTTAGTAAATTACTTTTTCTTAATAATTTTCCAAAAAATTATTAATTAACTTTCGTAATTATTAAACAATAAAATTTTTGGTAAATTTCACAATTAATTTTTATAAATTAATTGTGGAAATTAAATTTGATAAGTCTGATAAATTAAATTTTTATTTTGTAAATTTATTAAAAAATTAATATACTAAATTTTTGTATAATAACAAAAAATAATTTCAGAAAATTTATATATATATGGAATAAATGGAATTCTTTTTGAATCATATTTATGAAATTTGTGAGATTTGAATGTATGGTTTTTGAACGTTATATAGTGAGCACTTAGAAAAGAGTATAAGAAGGCAATACAAGGAGCCTTTGATAAATGTTTCTTCTTTATTTTTGTTTTTTTTTTTTTCTTTTTTTTTGGTATTAGACTATTAGCATGGAGAGACCACAATTACTTGGATTTGATCCCGTACCTCCACATTGGGAAGGATGCCAAGTGACCATCTCAACTACTGGGTCAACCAGTCAACCAATGTTGAAATAACTGTACACAGTAAACATCTATGCTCCATTTGAGGGGATGTTGAATTATTTGGGCCAAGATGTACCTTATTTCCTTGGGGCAGTTTTCTATTATTTTTTATGCTGATGGCTTTAGTGTACATTAATGGGCCTACAAGGCTCTTTTATTTCTTTAATCATGCAACCACCATCTTAAGGGCATTCTTGTAATAGCGAAAACTTTTCTTCAAAACACCCATTAATTGTAACCCCTAATCCAAGCTATATTCCATTTAGGCTTGTCCAGTAACCTAAACCCTTTGAATTGTAAATCTACTATTTAGACACTATTGGACGGACAACTTTTAGACACCTCTATTCACTAATCAACCATTACCCATTAGTCTCTAGATACTCTAAAACCCCTATCTCCAAGGTGATATTGTCCACTACGTTTTTGCCTTTGACAAGTGTTCCTTGTTCTAGGGGATATTGTCATAACCTTGCCAATGAGCTTTATAACAAAAATTACCTAAGCTGATTGGATGGAGGTCAAAGTGTCTTTCTAGTGTTCTACATTTGGGAATTAGAGTCACAAAATACGAGCTATAGCTATCTGGCATCTCAACACCCAGTTTTGGCCGTGGAGGAAAATGCCACCCTTCTAGAAATCAACCACTAGGAGCAAGGAGGAGACCACCAAAAGAGCCCCTACCAAGGGGACTCCTTGTGTCGGGAATGGGTGTACCAGGGTAAGAATTGTATCTACTTGCTTATAGAGTAGATGTATTGTTCACTATTTTTTTTTATATGAAAATAAATAAATAGTAATTCTTTAATAATCAATAAATATAAAATCGAAAATGAAATAATAACACTATGGTCTGTCTTCCATGTCCTGACTATCATACCGGAAGCTTACGGCCAATCAACCAGTATCAAAGTGGTAACCAATCAGCTGGAGCTGGTTTCATCAAAATTCATGAAAGGTTTTGATTGGTCAATGCTCTTTCGATATCACACATTTCCGGCATCATAGGTTTAACCTCAAGTCAAGTTTGACTACTTATGGCAACAACCCCGCTTAAGGTAAGGCTGAGGTTGGGCAAATGGTTGTAGTCATTCAGAAAATTCTCCAGCCCTATGCACAAATGCTAAAGACAAATCGCCTCCATTACAGAGTTTACAAAGATTTAGAACTTAGGGTCCATTTGGTTTGCAGTCAAAATTCAAATCAAAATCAGAATCAAATCTCGTGGAATTGTAATCAAAATGGAATAAACTGGAATAGGATTTCATTTCCAAGAGAGGGGGAAGGAATAGCCATTCCCTTGAAAATCCATTCCAATTCTGATTCCAGACCCCTATTCCCACAAGCCAAAAGGGCAATATAAAGCTGTTTGTTGGGAAGGTATGAATGATGATGATGACGATGACGCATATACAATCTCCCATTTGCACATTACAGCAAACTGAACTTTCATTACCATTGTCATATTATACAATCCGAGAAGAAAAAATAACCAAAAAGTTCTATCTGTATTCACAAACCAATCAAGAGGCTCCCTTGGCAGGGTCCGGTCACAGTTATCAGCTGTGCGAAAACATTTGGACAGTTGAGTCTCACGAGTAACTGCTGTCTTGGTCTTACAATGGGTAGAGCGTCCACGGTGGGAGTGGAGCTTACAGTTTTATACATCCTCAGTTTCTCAGGCGTGTGCCATAAAAAACCTAAAGCCCAGATAGTGGCACAACCTTCTTAAGAAAATACAAGGGCAGAAAAAAACAACTCTCCCTACCATCCTTAAAAGATTTTCTTTAGACTCAAGATCTAGCCCTGCTTCAACAATGTAAAATAATCAAGGAAAAGAGATGCTCATCTACAGAAAAAATGAGGGAGCTAATTTCAAGTATTAGAACATGACCTACTAATTTGGATTGGATTGGAAGGTTGGAGGATCAGCGTTTTTCTCAGACCCTCTTTTCCACAATAATACTTCTAAAACAATGACTGTGATGAGAACTACCGCAAGAAAGAATCCATAGGCTACCTTCCAAGAGCTACCTGCACCTCCAACTTGAATCCCTAGGACAATATTCACAGCTCCAAAGAATAGAGCGAGCCTCCCAACCCAATGGTGATACCAATTCCAATACTTGCGCTTCTTGGCTTCTTTGTTAGGCCGTAGGAAGAATGCTATCACCTGGTGCACCATGTAGGGCATACAGTTAGGTTTTAGATAATAATATAATCCCCATCACCAAAGCTCAGCAGTCTAAAGATCTGGACACAAATACATGGCTATCCATATGCATTGACTTTCTAATAAAAAACTTGCAATATCTAGATTCATTTTTCCTTTCTTCTATTACACTCAGATCTTGGAGCCCTTTTTCAACAGATATACAGCATTTGCCAATGCAGTAGATACATTTATTTTCACACATGCTTGAATAGCCAAGGCTGAATATCATACAAAGAACCGAAAAAATAGTGATTTTTTATAAAGCGTCTTAAATTTCAGAATGAGATATATAGTCACATCCAATACATGGTGATGGCCTTTATATAGCACTCTACGATAGAATTCCAATTAGGAGAACAAGACTTCCAGTGGTGCTAAGCCTTTACTTTTACCAGAACTTGGGAATTATTTTTCTTTCACTAGAATAACTAAACAATGAAATTGTGGAGAAGACATTTTCAAATTCCATGCTTCATGGTAAACTCAGGAAATACAATGCATAACTGGTGTTTAACAGAAACCTAAAACCTTACATACTATTTGCCATGTACAAATGGGGCAATTACAGGTACTTGTGATCCACCATTAAATGGTTCCTGCCAAGAAATCTTCTAGAACAATGTTATCATAGCTATCTAACTTAATGGCACTCGTTTAAGTGCATATTTATTTATATATACGCATTTATATTGGTGTTGGATTCTTGGAAAAGGAAGATTCAACACCGAGTTTTTTTTTTTTTTTGATAAAGACATTCGACATTGAGTTTGCTTTATATAATTTAGTGTCTTAATGGATCTAATTTCTCACAAAAAAAAGTTGAAACGGCATGATTCCAAATTTGTTCTATTATCAATTCTAATCCTAAAAGCAGCATTAATTTATACAAATTTATGTCTAGATCATACCTTTGGGTAGTCTGTCAATGGACTATGAAAACCTAAACTGGAATTATTTTAATCTCATGTCATTACCAAAAATACTATTAATTTATCATTTTATATATTATATTTATTTCCTAAGAGGTCAAGGTGGCCTATGGACACCACATTTTTGCACATACAGTTTTATCCAATGTGGACAGTTAATATCAGGTAATGGAGAACTCACAAACCTGAAGAATACTAAGCACAAGAACAAAGATCCCAATGCCTCTGTGTGCCGGAATATTTACATGCAGTCCATCATAAAGTGCCTTCCCAGCCACCACAGTAGCAAGCCCAATGATGAATCCCACAAATTGAACGAATGTATGGATATAATACCATAGAGGATCCCGGTGCTTATAGTATCTGGCAACAATTGCCCCAGCTGGAAGGATCACGCCCCATGCAGTTATACCCAGAACTCCATGGCTCCTTTTCAAGTTGTTAGTGTTTTTGGGAATCACAGCCGGGGAACCTTTAAGAGAACAACTATGTAAGTAGTCATGTATTTTGGACAAGATAGTTTCATTAAAGCATTGAGTATTATTTATTTGCTTAAACATGGATAACAAAGTAAGCATAAAAAAATCAAAGGAGCAAATAAGAACAAGAAAAGCTTATCAGATGAAAAAACGTAGCAATCACAGGATAGAGGCATCCAATATATAATGGAACTATATGACAAATTGACAATTTACAGATGCAACTCTCCATACCAAATTCTTACTAACTTCTATTTCCATGAACAAAGAATGACTTTTTATGGTTTGTCAAATAGCATATATAAGTAGCAAGTAACATAACAGTATTAGTTTTCTGATGTAAGAACATTTACAAATTAAGTAAATCAGGTTCATAATATTTCTACTTTCTTTTTCTTCTGAATCCCCTGAGATTTTCTAGACATGAAAGCAAGTAGAAAATAAATGCATAGATCCCAGAAACTCCCATACACAGTATTGCAATAACATTATCTGAGAATATGAGCAAAAGAGAGTATGTGCAGTACTTCTGTACTAACTATTTTTGGAGGGAGGGAATTATTCTTTTTCCTGTAAATCTGTCAGAAACCATGAACCAAAATTTCAAAACTGTGTACTGTTTTCAATAATCAATTAGAAAATAAAACAGAAAAAAATGGAATCAGAGGAACTTGGCCATTCTGTGACAACAAATTTCTGGCAAAGTTGCTCAATGATTAATCAAAAGACCAAAAAAAAAACCTCATCCACCCCCACCCCCTCAATTCTTGAATGGAGAAAATCTGTAAATTCTGGCCTTTTAGTTTTAGCACCACATCAGAGTATATCATATTTACTGGCCTCTTTGCCAAAAGATAATCTATAGTTTCATGGGGAAATTGCAGACTATTGATCTATCACTAGTAAAGGATTTTTTGGGTTATGAACCATGAAAATATATTGGCCTTCAGAAAACACCTTGCACAAAATGGATTTCTTACTGGTAACTGGTATGATGTGTGGATGATATATCACAAGAGCCATACCCACTTAAGTTAATCTCAACAACGTCCAACAACATATATCATTAAAATACATATCAATAATTGTGATAATGTAGATAAATAATAGGATAAGCACTCCAATGAAGTGAAAAGCAAGAAAAGAAAGAAATGAAATAATAGGATTTTTTACATGGAAAAGCCTCCAATAAGGGAAAAAAACAGAGGACTTTATCTGTCAAAACTTCCACCATTCAAAGAAAATAATGGTGTAACAACTCGCTATCAATGTTTTAAAATGCGGAGGCATGACACGAGGCATTCCACTATCTAGAGGCGTGAGGCATAGTTCAGAACGCAAGAGGCATAAGCCTCTTTAAGAGGAGGGGGGTTAGGAGGAAGGGGAGGAGGATGAAGAGGAAGGGGGGATCTCATTTTTTCTTTATTTTTAATAAAAATCTTCTATATTAAGAAGAATAAAGATGCATAACATTAATTGAAAGGGGGGGTCTTGTCAATATATTGGACCCACCCAACCCACTCATGAGGAGGAACAACAATAGATTTCATACCACTTGGAACAAAAAGTAAGGTCCATTTGGAAACTAAATAGTATAACATAGCCATCATTAGCAAAAGCCTAAGAAATAAAAATTTATAAAAAAAAAAAAAAGTTTAAGAAAGAAAACATTCACTTGAACTGAATCAATCATATATAGAATGGTGTTTTTGAGGTGCTGGGGAAAGGATGTATTTAGTTCCATCAATAGTAAGTGAGAAAGGGGAAGTTGTGGGAGAATCCATCAGACATTTTAGGAACTGCATACAGAACTTCCCCACAACTTTCCTTCTCTCATCTACTTTCTGTGGAACCAAATGCAGCCTAAAGAACTAGGATTGTCATATCTGAGTGGGAAAGTAGTTCACTTGAAAAAGAATACAACCTTATCTAAAACTCAGCGGATGATGGAAGGTTTCCACATATTCCAAATTCATCCACTCACATGCTTCCAATATGCAATAGAAAGTTCCTAACTATAAGCATTGAGGCATCAGGGCAATCCCAGCTTTCTCATAAATTGTTTCTGGGCCCAGTTCATTTTCCCCCATAATGCTACATAAGAGTGTACAAGGCAATGACAAATATTGTCTTCCTTTATAGCTCAATCAAAATGATTAGCACACCACATGTAAAACATCCACATGATACCAGCAATGTAAAAAAAAATACTAGTAATAATGAAGAAGACTTGTTGAAAAGGCACAAGGAAAGCAAAATACCAGGAGCAGAGAAGTCAAATACAACAGTTGTTTTATCATCGTGCTTTGTTAGCCGATTGTGCATCGGGTATAAAGTTCCAAAAGCTAGTAGTATTTGTTGATGAGTAAGAGGAGTTGCAAGATTCAATTGAAATGCCAAGTAAATGGTAGCCTCATGAAGAACAGTAACAGTTGGAACATTAGTAAGTTGCAATTCACCCTTGTCTGGTATTACTTCAGATGTGCTTTGACCACGCAAGTAATACTGTTTGATCTTTGCTCGGCCTTCTTTATTAATCCAACCTACCATAGCACTTGAACCAACCATCGTTCCATCTTTTGAAAATCCTATTCCAACCCACCCCGTAGTATATACAGCAGATAATACAATGGTCAGGACATTACTTTGACTCTGAGTGTACTGCAATAGACAACAATAATTAGAAAGATGTAAATGCTTTGCCTTCAGATGCAGCAAGTGTTTCTATGCAACAAATATTATAATTTTCATAAAAGTTAAAGTCATTCACCAGCAAGTGAGCAGTTTCACATAAAATTAAAAACTTGGATAGGTAAACAAAATACTGCCCAAATTTTGGATTGGGCATAGTAGACAGCTCCTATTGCCCGGTAGGCATGACTGCATAAATATGTAAGTCATTCAACCGTATGACGTTAGGGCTATTATAAACAATTGAATTCAGACATAATAGCTCAGTTTAGGTGCGAAAGAAATTGGTTTATAGACATTCCCTGGTTGAGATGTTTTAGGAGGCTTCCACCGAAGAAAAAGACCCAGAAACAAGCAAGAAATAAAAAGAAAGAACTTGATTTGGGCATGCAAATACGACTCTGTGACTTCCATCTTAAAGCAAAATGTATAACAATTCAAAATATCTCATCATAAACGAGATCCAACACCAAAATTGGAAGAAAAGAATGTGGGCTTACTCTCAAAATGAAAGTATTCCAAACGGTTGTACAAGTATAACCTGAATAATTGCCGTAAGGAGGAGGAAGAAAGCTGTTCAAATCTTGTTTGCAGGCCTCAAGTAACCCATCGCCGTCGGCGACGACAGGGAGGATCTCCGCCTCCAAGAGGAGAACCAGCGCAGCGAACAAACGGAAGAATCTCGGCGGCAACATTGACAGTGGATCGAGAATGAAGAAGCGGCAATGGTGATGATGATTAAGGATGGAGGATTTCTAAGAAGTGAATGGAAAAGAAGTCAGGAGAAATTGGTGGTGGTGGTGGTGGTGTTAGGGTTTCGAAACAGTTGAGATGTTTTAGTCTCGTGCACTTCAAGCTTGTTCCACTGGCAACGCTAGTGTCTTGAGATGATAGCGGTTGGTAATGGCGGGTCATCATCGTTCCTGCTCCCTCTCTCTCTCGTTACGATAACGACTAACGACTAACGAGGAACAAGATCGAAGTAAAATATTGCTTATTGCTTTCTTTTCAGAATGCCCAACGAGTCCCCAAAGCTTAACGGCCGTTTGATAACAGATGATGTGGCTGAACTGAATGCCTCGTTGCTTAATAGCCGAGTGCCATGTTGAATTACCGTATTACCATGTAGGGTAGGGTAAGCCGGTAAGCTAAGCTCAAGAGGCTTCAGACTAGAATTCACCTTGTGCTTGCACTGTTGCACATGCACAGTCCAAACAATGGGCTAGGGTCCAACTATTAGGATTGGGCAGGATTGGGCCTGAGTTGGGGATGGGGGCCTTATTTATTTATTTTCTTCAAGGGGCTACACAATGGGTAGGGATGCACCCAAGATCTGATTCTACTTGGTCGAATTCGGTTCATCCTTGTTCGGATAGGATAATATGATCTTATCAGAAATTAGAATGGATTCGGATCACCCTTGAAGATTCGATCCGATGTATATTATATATTTATAAATATAAATATATATATATATGTTATTTATTTATAAATATATTTTTTATATTATATTATTTATTTTTTATAAAAAATATGTATATATATGATGAAATAATTAAAAATTACTTGTATTTTTTGTTTTTACTTTATTTAAATTTATATATTTTATTTTTCTTTTAATAATTTGTTAATTTTTAAAGAAAATAAGTCAGATTGGATCAGATTCAAAGATCCGACTTACTGATAGGATTACCCCTAACAATGGGGGTAACCCATCCCCCATTCCCTTAAGGTTAAGGCCTTAACCCCCTCAACCCTGGTGGTAAGGGGGATTTGATCCCAAGTCTCTATTAATCCTACCAAGTAAGCCATGATCAGTTGGCTATTGAACGGTGAATGAATTCAATTACGTGTAACCAATCAACTAGTATCATAAAAGTGGTAACCAATCAAGTGGTTATTTAATTGGGGAGGGAGTTTGATCAATAAAAACTCCTTATTAGTATTATCTCTCGGTTGGACTCATCGATGATGCATTCACTAATATTTTCCCTTAAGGTAAATCAAGATTTCAACCAATCACATTAAAAATATTACATAGTTTGATTATCTTTAATTGACTTACATTTTAAGAGAAGTAATTACCATCAAAACTTCAACAATTAAACATGCCAATTGTGACGAAATGTTTTATCAATGGTTCATATCTTTTGCTGAACAGTGTAATTGATGCATCATAAATTTTGCCCTAATGAGCACCAACTTTTAAAATAACTTCAAGGCATCACATAAACTGATTTATTTTATTTCAAAGGCTGGTGTCTTTGCCATGTCATTGGGGGTGACATGCAACCATGATAACAGCACATATGTTTTTTTTCTCAGACAATACAATGAATGGTCACACTCAGTAGAGTGAAGCATGAAGTATATATGGACCACCAATTATAATAATAAATAGCTACTTAGCCAATTAGGCTAATGCTTTGTTATTAAGCAAAGTTGATAAAAGAAACAACTTCACTACTTAATAGTTGGAGACAACACAAGGCAACCTGTAACATTGACAGCTTAACAAAAATTGAATCTGGTCGCGTTTGTGTGTATGTTGAAATCATGCCAGCGCCTAGCGTAGGAAAGAAGGGTTTATAGCTGAGAAACAAAGTAAAGAGGATCCAAATCCAGATACATTGATAAGTATAGGATCCAAATCCAGATTCACTTCTCTTCTGCTCACTTGTAATACTGTTGCAAGCAAAATTTGATCTGCCCATTTTTCAATTCTTCCAAATTCCTTTTGGTTTCCCACGATACCTCTTGGGACACCTGACAATGTACTCTCAAGGCATACCTACCACAGAGTTCTTATAAAACAGATTGTACCTCTTTTTCAGTTTGATTCCATTTCTTTGTCAGGTCAGGGAGAGAGATGCAAGGCAAGCAGTCTCTTTACTTCTCTTTAGCCTTCCCTCTATTATTCTTCAACAAACCAATCTTTTCTTACCAAATCATGACCAAGGCTACCTAAATATGGATCATGGTGAGGCTTCTTCTAATACAAATATGTCCATATATAAGATATTTTTAAATCTTGTATTTGTATTATATATATTTATATTTGTATTTGTATTCTTCCCAAGAGTCGTATTCCATTTTTAATAATCACCAACCATTCGTTCAAATCCTTGGATAGCATTTATCGCGAAAGCTCAAGTTCTTCTCCATTTTCATTAAGGTTGTCTGTATTTGGCAACATTACATTTTTATATTGACAAATGACGGACCAATGCATATTTACATTGATAATAAGATGTAAAAGTATATCAATAAAGAAGAAGTAAATTTACATTCAAATTGGTTTTTGATAAAAAAAAAGTATATGTTTTATTGGAATTCGTTTCAATGGCAACGAAGTATTCACCGAGAACAAATAACATAAATTTGTGGTCTACATCCTCACAACAGGACTTGGGTGTCCATTTTTATCCCACAACAACAAAATAGCTGCCAATCCATCTTACCCATTTTTGCGCAGGACCTCAGCCTTAGAGTTTCACCAAACAGGTAAACCAAAACGATGGAACAATCTTTTGATTCTTTATCTCGTTGATCTATTTTCAGATAGCTGTTTCTCATGTTTTGAGCAACTCATTGAGAAACCTATTTATTCCCTCATTAAATTTTAGGGAGAAGTACGGACAAGCCCATTGCAGAAACCTGAATCCCAGGCCAGTCCATACAGAATCTATAATAACAGTTAAATTCAACTTTTGAAATTATAGGATAGATTCCCACGCCAACTAAGCATCATGCTTTTCATGTGAGGTGACAATCCAGCTTTCATTCCATGTCATAATAACACTTATTTAAATTTTTATTTTGAAATTTAATCTTAAGTTGCAAAGACTAAAATGACCCTGCTAAGGCCCACGGTCATTGCTCTCTTCCACCCTCCCTCTTCTTTCTCTTTCATTGTCTCTACGACTCTAAACTCTCTTCTCTTTGACTGTTTCTTCCTGCAACTGCAAGTTCTCCTCCCCAGCAGCACTCCTCTTTCTCACTTTCATTTTCTCCTTCCTCACTCTCCCTTTGTCGCTCCTCACTTTCTCCCGCTCTCCCTCTCTCAGTCTCTCGCTCTCACTTTCTCCCGTTCTCGCTCTCCCTCTTCCTCACTCTCATTTTCTCCTCCCTCGCTCCCCCCCCCCCAATCTTGCTCTCCCTCTGTCACACCCTCACCCTCTCCCTCTCTCAGTCTCTCTCGCTCTCACTTTCTCCCATTCTCGCTCTCACTTTCTAGGGCCCATGGTCATTATTCTCTCCCGCCCTCCCTCTTCTCTCTTTCGTTGTCTCTCACACTCTCAACTTTCTTCTCTTTAACTGTTTCTTCCTATGGTTAAGGTTTATGCAATGGGCCTGTCCATACTTTTCCTTTTTTATATGGGAAGGGAAATTATTTGTGATGTTACCTGTCAACTTTGAAGATGAGAATATTTAGAAATTTTTAATCTTTTACAAAATAAAAATAAATAGTTGGTTTCAACTGATCAACTGAACGAAATGGAACTAGTAATTCAACGATTTCTTCATCCAAAGAATTCAACTAAAGAAAGAAACAGAATTTGATGAAGAATAAGAAGCCAACCTAAAAAAAACTTCAGTTTGAGGTTTTTTTAACAAAACGAAAGCGATTAAACAAAGCGACACTGAATTCGATCTTTGCAGCAAAACTTCAGTTCGAAGCAGAAAATCTGTTGGAAGCTCTTCGCCTTTTCATGCAGAATTGCAGGTTTCCAATAACGAAAGACCTTAAAACGAGAATGCATCAAAGACGATAAAAATCGGAGGAAACGGAGACTTTAGCTTGACAGAACGATGAATGACTTTTGAGGATGAATAAAGGTGCTGCTACGATGCTGCCCTCCTTCCGAATTCGTGTTCCATAGTCTTCTCTACTCACTTTTCATTTTCATTTGCTCTGTCCGTTCTATTTTGATTCTTGAACAGTGATTTCTCTTACTGAAAGTACAATCCAGTGATTTAAGAATCAAAATAGAACGGACAAAGCAAATGAAAATGAAAAGTGAGCAGAGGAGGCTGTGGAACATGAATTCGGGAGGAAGTGAGAGTGAGAGCGAACGGGAGAAAGTGAGAGCGAGAGGGAGGGAGAGCAGGAGAGAGGGAGAGCAAGAACGGGAGAAAGTGAGAGCGAGAGAGACAGAGAGAGGGAGAGCGGGAAAGGGTGAGGGCGCGACAGAGGGAGAGCAAGACTGAGGGGGTGCGAGGGAGGAGAAAATGAGAGTGAGAAAGAGGGGGAGCGAGAAGAGCGGGAGAGAGTGAGGGGCGACAGAGGGAGAGTGAGTCTGAGGGGGAGCGAGGGAGGAGAAAATGAGAGTGAGAAAGATGAGCACCGCTGGGAGGAAAACTAGCAATTGCAGGAAGAACAGTCGAAGAGAGAGTTGAAAGTGCCAGAGAATGAAGAGGAGGGCGGGAGAGAGCATGACCGTGGGCACTAGCAGGGTCATTTTAGTCTTTGCAACGTAAGGTTAAATTTCAAAATAGAAATTTAAATAAGTATTATGATGACATGGAATCCAAGCTGGATTGTCGCCTCATGATGCTTAGTTGGCGTGGGAATCTGTCCTATAATTTCAAAAATTGAATTTATGTTATTATAGATTCTGTATAGATAGGCCTGGAATTCAGGTTTCTGCAATGGGCCTGTCCCTACTTCTTAAGCTTTCACTCATAAAGTCGTTGGTACTTTTCTTGGGTTTTGTGTGATTCAAATTTAATGTATATTGTATTCTTTTTTTTTTTTTTGTCTATTAATGGAATGTCTCAAGTCCCATATGGACTAGGAAGAAAATTCCTCTGGATTTATCCATTGGTTTGTGCACTTAGTTGGTGTTTTATGGGACTTGTAGAGAGGTGCACCTAAACGCATGCATCGGATATTGTGTTTACCTTTGACAAACTAAGTAGATATACCCACAATCCCGAACTTGCACATTGGAATGCTATAATTAGAATCTTGAGGTACATAACTGATTTCATATTACATTTTAATGGATATCCAACTATGTTAAAAGGATATTGTGATACAAATTGAATATCAAATTCAAATGAGACCAAATCCATTAGTGGATATGCATTTACATTAGGTGGTGGGGCCATATCTTGGAAGTCCACCAAATATGGAATCCAAGTTGCTTTAGAACAAACTAGTGTAGAGGCTTAATGGTTTCGTAATTTATTTGTTGACTTACCTTCATGGACAAAATCAGTCCCTTCTATTTCCTTGCATTGGGAAGAGTCAGCATATTTGGTTAAGAGACCATATAGTAAAAAGTAATAATAAGTGATTGTGTGTAATCACACTTGAATTTGTGAGGTCAAAGAAAAATTTAGCATATCCCCTTTGACTAAGGGAGTGACTAAGACGTTAGTCTTAGATATATCCAGAGGGATGGGTTTATAGACCATAGATTAAACTAGTAGTAGCAATCCAACCTTTGTGATTGGAGATCCCATGAATGAGGTTTAATGGGTAATAACAAGTCACTCAAGTTGGTAAAGCACTATCATAATATGTTTTGACAGTGTTCTTCCCTAGGGTGTAGATAGTACTAACTACAACATAAGGAGGTTGTGTAATTTATTGTTAATGAATTCATAGCCCCAATGGGTGGTGTAGGTAGTTGTAGTACACATTTGATGAATTATCCACCTCCTATGAAAACATCAGCTTTATTCTCTAGAGCATTCATAAAAATCTACGCAAGGGTGCATGGCCAAAATGTACTAAACTATGAAAACCAGTTGTTATAAAGGGTGAAACGTGTTGTAAGTACATGTAGGTTACAATCAAGGAATTTGGTTCAAGACTTATGCTATGTTTGGGAGTGCTTAAAAATAAGTGGTTATTCAAAATAAGTGCTTATTTGGGCCAATATCACACCATTAAGCACTTATTGGTGTTTGAGAAATAAGCCCGAAATAAGTGCTTATTCTAAAAATAAGGACTTATTTTTTAAGCCCAAATTTCCAACTTTTTTAAGTGCTTATACACTACCTCTAGTTGAATTTTATAAAAGTAGTTGAAAAAGTACTTTTAAAATAAGCACTTGAAAAAAGAGTTGTGCTAAATGCAAATAAGTGCTTATTCGAATAAGCACTTGTTTTTAACATAAACACTAGGGGTGATCATGGGCCGGGTCGGACTTTGTGGTTATGATAAGGGATATAGCTTAGGCCTAGGCTCGGCCTGGGGTTCTGGGCCTAAAACATAAACCTTAGCCCAGGTCTACACGGGCCCAGACCAGGCCAGGCCTAATTCTGGGCCAATGTCTTTCATATATAAAACATTACATATCTATAATATTTTATATTAAATAACATAATATGCATATAAACTTATTTTATATAATATATAATATAAAATATTACGTATAATATCAATTATACATGTCATATTATAATATTTATATATAAAATATATAATAAAATGTAAAATAACATGTATACATATGTATACATTATACACAAAATGTGTAAATTTAAATATATACAGGTCAGCCCGACCCTAAAATTTGTGGGCCTAATGTAAGCCCGAGCCCAGGTCAGACCTAAACACAAAACCCAGGTCCAAACCCAAAATTTTTGGGTCGGGCTTGTGCAGGCCAGGCTGAAATGATCACCCCTAATAAACACTAACAAATATGACTTTAATTTCACCAAATTTTAGTAACATAAGCCTTGTATGCATTATGTGTGGATTCAAGCCTACAAAACATCACCACTAATACTTTTGCTTCTCAAAGTATAGCCAATGCGTGTTGCTTTACTTTAAATCAAGTGAGGGATTGTTGGTGAAATTTATTTCTTGTTCTTACACTAAATGCTCTTTGAGTTCTTTCTCTCTAATATTGGTTTTTGATTGGTTTTCGTTACCTAAGGTTTTAAATTTTAAGACGTCACTAAATGCTAATATTATTTAATTCAATGCCCATTCGAGTTACCTTTAATAACAGCAATTAATAGATCATTAAATGTTATTTAAGTCAAATAATTTATTAAAAATCGCAAAGCAAAGGTAACAAGTTTCAAACCTTAGTCCTTTACAACAATAATTAATTAATCACTATATCAACCTTAATTGCTTATCGTAACATATTAAAATTTGATTATTAATATTTATATAATAATAAAATGAGTACAAATTATATTTATTTATTAAAAATTAAGGTATATATTAACTTGTATAAGATGAATACGTGTTTTATTTATCTAGGCCCCTTAAAACTTGGGACGCAAGGGCCCTTAAAGAAGCATTCGAGTAACGAGAAATTTTCAAAAGCGAAGGAGTTTGACCATGGACACTTTGAAAAGGCCGACCGCCGAGGACAATGGTATCAAGCAATTTGTTGCCTGGTTTCCTAATCTCACTATTATATACTTATAGCCACCCATCAAAAATAAAATATCAATAATTTATATATCGTCTGGGAAATGCAAGTAGAGAAGAGGGCAGGCTCATATGAACAAGGCCTACCATTCTTTCTTCTGTCCTTCCCACATTCTCATTACACTTAAGAAAACGAGAAAGAACGGCAAACAAAAAGGTAAGGGGAACAGACAAAAAAAACGAACTAGCTGCATCTGCAAGAAGGACCAACCATTAGAAAAACGGTGCACCAAAGCAAACCAGATACGCCCTTTTAAGAGAACTTGGAAGCAACGGCCGCCTTTATGATATTTTTGCTCTGGAGAAGTCCATTTCAGGGTGCTGCATGAACCAAAGGATTTTATCATCAGATGCTCAGATCCAACCAACAACTATTGAGTTAATACATCATACAATTCATGCACGCATGTCTGTGTGTGTGTACGAGTGAGAGAGAGAGAGAGAGAGAGAGAGAGAGACCTCGGCCATGAATTTCTTAAGAATTTCCTGTTTCTGCATCTCATCACTTGTAGGAAGACCCATGGACTTTTGTCGCTGATCAAACTGCAGTGAAAGATTAGTGCAATATTTACATAAGAGGAACCACAAAATCTTAAAGGAAGGGCCAAGGAGGGGGCAATCAGCTTTTTATTTATATTAAGGCTAGCATTTGGCATTCTTTATTTTAAGGATTTATCTCCCTTTTGCAGTTAAAAACTCCGTGTTCATAGGGGCAGCATTTTAACTACAAAAAGGAGACATGTCCTCAATAAGGAATGCCAAATGCAGCCTAAGTATATATAACCAAAATCGTTGATGAATAAAATGTAAATTTGGGAACAACATTCATACTAAGAAACTAAACTCCAACAAAAGCTTGGTCAAATGATGCAGTTTGTAAAACTGAGAAAATATATCTTACCAGCTACAGTATGTCATCTTATAGGCCAATACCCACACAATTAATATGACGGTGGTGACTGGTGATAATAATTATGATAGAAATCAAATATGTTCATAACATAATCAACTTTTATAACTTGGGATGAGCTCAATTTTCAACTCAGAATTGGGTCTTGAGAAAAATTTAACATCATAAGTGATACAGACAATTCTATCCAAAATTATCAGCTTAGATCTTAAGTTTTAACAAGTTTCCACCTTTGGTGCAATCTGGCATGCCCAAAACATATCTGTGCATAACAACTTAAAAAGACAATGGTAACTAATTTGTAGAGCGATACTCCTTACCATCATCTTTTCTACAGTTTGACGAGTTTCAGGATCTAGGTCAGAGAGTTTGCTATTCTCAGGTTCCACCTTCTGGGTATCAATTTCAGGATCACCTTTCACTAGATATTTCCACCACTCCATTTGATTTTGTTTGGTCAATAGAACAGAGATAAATTTCTCATCCTCTGCAGAAATTAAAGGTCAAAAACAGTATAAATCAATAAAATTGTGTCACTAAGAATAGCATCCACAGGAACATGATACAGAATTTTACGAACAAACAATGAGGGTATAGAAAAACTATTCTTAATGGTATCCAAACAACCATATAAGTAAATTCTATCAAACAGTGAGAGATTCTAACTCATCCAATAGTTGGCCTTCTACTTAGAAGAAGGCAGCAGCCTATACAAGTTAAAACTAGAATAATCTTCATAACAGAGTCCAGTCTCAGAGTGGGTGCACACCTATGCTCCAAAAACAATCATCGACCTTGACAGACTGGTAAAGCTCACCCTGGCAGTATTTCAATATTCATATTAGAGATGGATAAAATGATAAGAAAAAAATAAAAAATGGTACCAATGCAAAGGTGAACAAATAAACAAATATAATTATAGTAAACATAATTAAACAAACAGATGACAACACAGGAACAATTGCATTTCAAAAAGCATCTGCATACTTACATCTATGATAGGCTGCTGACCCTTGAGTCCAAACTTCAGACGGTTTTTCTTTATCTCACAGGCAACAAACCTTGATTTAGTTCCACGAGGCACTGGAATATTAACTGTGACTTCTTGTAGAGTTTGTGTCCACGAGTAATTTTCCAAATCAAGGCCATTTCCTTTATTTGGCTCTGTTCAAGTTTCAAAAAATGATGTAGGGATAATAAGATTTACTGAATACAGACTAGATAGAAGCAATTAATAAGAAATTTTCTCCACAAAGAGGGGGTGTGGGGCAAATGAAGAATAGCACAATAAAAGAGATGACTGATCCATCCTTAAGTTGGCTGTTCCACCAAGGGGGGCAAATGAAGAATAGCATAATAAAAGAGATGACTGATCCATCCTTAAGTTGGCTGTTCCACCAAGGATCAAGTTAGGCAAGACAACATCCTCCTCCAGGCAGCAAAAGTAGGAGAAATTAACTCCTTTACTTGTTCTAATACAAATACTCCTACGTTTCAACGGCTTCAGATCATGACAATGTTGAGAGATCAAACTTAAGAGCTGATTGTAATGGGGCTTGGGCCTTATCTTTCTTTTATTATTTATTTACTTTATGTTACCATCTGTCCCAGCCAACTTAAGGAAGAGAGTGGGCACTCTTCCTGAGACCATCAATCCAGAATTCTTTCTCATTCAATTCTTCCTCTCTTCTCTTCTAGCATCTTCTTTACTGATACTGTTTTCCCTATTTTTCTTGCTCATATCTGATTGTTGTTATTCTTTTCTTTGCTGATTCTCAAGTGACAATACTAAAAGCATGAAAGCAAAATAGAAGAAGCAAGCACCAATCCAGCAAAGGTCCGGTGACCTGATGTATACCTGACATGTGTACCACTAGTTGCAAGCCAATGAAATGAGCTAACAGCAGCCCTAAAGATGTACATCCAGTCTAGATTAGGTTCTATTTTCAATTCACTCCCAAGTTCCCCTGTGGTGGCATGAAGTTATGTTCAAGTAAACCACCAAGCATAACATGAATATCAAAAGTTGTCTGAAGTAACATTTCAACTCAGAGAGATCAAACACCACAGCTTTTATGGGACTCCATCCATCTCCAAGATGGAGATTGTGGATTGTGGTTAAGCATTTTTTATCAGCAAGTGAGTCGTGGTCATGCATTTTTAATCACACAAAATATTTTTTTTAAAAGGTAAGGTAATTTTATTGAAACCGAGAAAAAAAGATACAACAGGACCCTCACCAAAAGAGGGTTGGTTCAGAAATAAAACAGAACACAGACTCCACAGAGACCAACTCAAATTACAGACTCCAAATGGACTGAGAAAGGAGCAGCTAAGGCACATTCAGGTGCTTAAATTCAGGATTAGCAGCCACCCAAGAGAACAGCTTACTCAGCCCTTTGGACTACTCATTTGTACTTTTAAATTTGCTACAGAAGACTATTGTTTCTTTCAGACCAGATGGACCAGAGAACAGCCACTGGGATAGTGTTCCACGCCAACATTCCTTTCTCCTTAAGACCCCCCACCTTCCAGCAAGTCAGCAACACAACAAGTCTTTAACTGTACTCGGCATAACCCAGCTGAAACCCACGGTCTTTAACCACACAAAATAAATTTCATTAACTTAAGTTTGTGGAAAGTGCGTAACTAACATTTCCTGTCTCCCTTTCCATGTTTAGGAAGACAGCAACTACACTGAGGGGTCTTGGCCCCCCCAAACTTTTCCCCACCCTATATCTTTAACTAGAGGTAGCCCATCCCATAAAACAACATCCAGGTTGGGCTAATGTTTGGCCCCCCAAAGCATTATAGAGAAAATGTTATTGGGTAGGCAGAGTCACATTAACACTGATTTATCTCGATCATGACCCAATTTGATTTTTTAAAATCCTAATTCTAACTCTAACAAAATCCATTATTTTTTCCTATGTCAATCCAAATTGTTTGAATAGGATTTTTGAGGTTGGACTTGAATTAGAATGACTTATTTACTTATATATTATAGGGACGACCCAAAATTTAATAGGATTTATTTTTTCTTACTTTAACCTTAACAGAAACTTTAAACCGAACTTTCTGGTTGGATTTTAGTTGTAGAATACATCTCATAGGTGCACTTTAGAAAATTCCACCAAGTCTCCATTCTCCATTCTTCCTCATATCTCATTCTCTTGGCCCCCCTAAGAGAAAATTCCTGGCTCCGCCACTGACTACACTAGTCAATTGGCAACCTAATTTCTAGTGCATGAGCGTACCTGACACAGTAATACACTAGATACAATACAGAAACTGCCCCCTCCCTATTTGATATTCCAAAATAAAATCTTTCCCTGATCACACCTTCTAGAGCTTGACTACCTGGCTATGAACTAGTCATTTGGCCAACCTTAAAGTCCAGTTGAATGAGGCAATGAGCTATCCAGCCGGGTAGCCAAGGATTCGGCTTTTCATATGAATTTCCCCAGCTAGAAATATGTCAATACTGCCATTTCCTGTTTACAAACTTTAGAATCTTCCCGAACCCAATATCACGCACCGACCAAGAAATACGATGACAAAGGAAAACAAGAAATAACAATGACGGGGGAAATTATAGACTGCAAAACAAATGAAGACGTGTGTAGCGATCGAATATGTTCTAAATTCCAAACAAGCTTGAAACCACAAGCAAAATATCTCGAACATGCAAACAGACTAAACCAGAAATAAATGATCAACAACGAAAACAGAAACAAGATAACAGTGCAAGCAATCTGCCATTTCAACTCTCTGGAGAAGAAGCATAAGAAAATTAGAGGAAATAACAAAAGAAAGAAAGACAGAGAGTACGGGGAAAAAACAAAACAAACCTCGTAGGTTTCCCTTTTTACCGTTCTCCTTGGACTCGGCCGCTATTTCCTTCTCCTGCTTGGCTTCTTTCGACGGAGGCGCAACATTCTTGGGCGACTCCTGCATTACTTCCTTCTTCTCGGTCTCTTTCAATCGTTTCTCGGCCTTGCCAGCATCCTCCAAACCCCTGGCCGCGGCCTTTTTCTTCTTTTCCTCGGTGTATTTCAACTTCGATGCAGAAACCATGGCCGAGATCTTCTTCTCGACCGCATCATCATTGAAAAGATCGGATTTTCGGCGAGCGAAGTCGAACACAGCCTCCAATAGCCCGAGTGGGCCTTGACGGTCGAGGATCGGCTTCAGAACTTCGTCGTACGAGCCTGCAGAAGGTTCCAGAGGAGACGAAGATGAGGGCTTCTGCTCTTGCTCTTCTTCGAAGTCTGAGATAATCGCCATGGCTAGGGAAGATTCAGATACTTTTTGTCAATGAGGAGTGAGGGGAGTGAGAGAGGGGGCTTTATTAGGGTTTTATATTTGCAGCTTCGTAGTAGTTTTTTTTTTTTTTTTTTTTTTAGCTTCCTAGTAGTTAAAGCCGAGAAACTTCTCAAGAGTCCTGAAAGCTGGTGACTCCCTAATCGACTAGTCGAGTAAGAATATGCTTGTTTATGATTTCTCGTTTCATTCACCAACAAAGCTCCCTGCCTAGTAGTGTCCGACATCTACACCGTCGGATGGTAGAGACTAGGGATAATGTGATATCAACGAATTCGGGTCGAGAACGGAGCCTTTGATCAACCCAACCCGATCCGGCTTAATGAAAAAAAAAATTCCACTTATCCCGAAAAAAGGGGGTTATGAAACCTATTATATCTGTACTCTGACAAGCCTACGCATACAATTTTAGTGTCCTCATGCTTTATGCTTTGAGATGTTGATTTTTTGTTTCAGTTGTGTTTGATTGCATTACAATTTTATTTGTATCAGTACAAATGTATGGGAGTGCAAATGAAAATATGGGTTTTACTTTATTCTGCTACAGGTGTAAATTTACTTTCTATCAAAAGTGTCTTAATTTACTTCATTTATACTGCATTCATCTGTACTATCATAATTTTGCATCAATGAAAATAAATATGCACCGCAAACAAATACATCTCAAAAATTACTTGTTGTGTTAGTAACTCGTTATTTATCGTATTACCCAATAAGATTAAGTTTTTTCCCACCTTAAAAGGCTGCATTTGGAAGCGATGCAAACACTGAATTGATGCATTGATGCACTGATGCACTCCTTTTTGGCTTTGCACTTATTATGGTTTAGATGAAAACTTGTCTTATTTAATTGTTATTGTTGTTAATCACTTAATTGTTATCTCATTATACTGTGTTTGGTTGCGGTGCAAATTTATTTGCACTAGTACAAATGCATGAGAGTGCAAATGTAAAAAATGCAAATTCTTGTTTAATTTTGTTTTGGATTTTATTTTATTCTGCTTCATGTCTTAATTTACTTTATTTGTATATAATCAGACAAAATATGCTAAAATTTGAAACAAAAGTAGGTCAGAATTTACACTCAAATCATTTGCATCTGCCATGGTTTTGCATCAGTATAAATTTATTTGCATTGCAACCAAACACAGCCTTCTATTTGTTATATTGTTTAAACTAAATATTAGCAGTCTCGCTAGATCATTAAGAAATTTTTTTTTTTCAATTCTAGATCTAAAGCAACATGACATTGCATAGTCCATCAAAGGCTGATCTATATTAAGTGGGTAAAGAGATAGGGAATCATTGATCCTCTTCCAACTGCATGAAACACTCAAAGGGAAACCTCCCTATCAAAGCTACATTTGGCATTCCTTATTTTAAGGATTTATTAGAATGGATAAAGATTAACTGTGATGCTAGTTTCCACCCCCATTCATCACTAGCAACTGTAGCCTATGTGGCACAATCAAATTCAGGCTCAATCCTCAGGACATATGGGAAAAGATTGTCCTGCAACTCTGCTTTGTGAGTGGAAGCTCTAGCAATCAGACTGACTTGTGAGAAGATTCTTAGATACAACCTCTCGAGGGTAATCATTGAATCAGACTCCTTGCAAACTATATCCTTCGTCAACGATCCTGATATGGCTTGTTTTTCTCCCTTGGCTGCTATCTAGAGTGACATTGTTAGTCTAACTCTTAATAGCTCTATTATTGTCACCCATGTTAATCTTGAGTCAAATTCTTTAGCCCACGACCTAGCTTCCTCCTTGGCCCGGGGTGTGGGTACCTATGATAGACCCTACTCGCCTCCCTAAACCCCCCCAATCCGTACCTGCACCAAAACCCATAGTGGGTTGGATTTTGAGAATCCAAACTCTCATTGCACATGAAAGTGCAAAACCCTCCCCACATTCAAGGGTAGGGGCGGGTTGGGTTTAAAACCCGCATCTAATTTCCTATTAGTTCTTGTCATACATAAGCAATAAATAAGTAAAATAACACAAATAAACATCAAGATTTCTAATTATTTGATTAAAACCTATAAAGAACACATAAACTAGTAATTATCCTTCACATAAAACTCAAAATACTATTAAATTCAACACTTAGTACATAAAGTTTATATGCTTTCCAACAATATGCAGGTCATGGAGGGCCAAGTTTAGCCTAATACCATACCCTAGGCATACCTATATAGGTTGTAGAATCCCAAACATGTACCTGCTCCAAAACTCGTCATTTAAGCAAAAAAAAAAAAAAAACACCCCACTGGGGATGGTAGGGGCAGGTACCCACCGGGTAGGGTAGAAATTATCATCCTTAAAATTGAATAAGGAAAATTCATGAAAAGTAGCAGATGGCGATGCATTTATCATTAAATAAAGAGTTTACTAACAGGGCCCGTGCGGGCTTATTGAACTAAAATAATTATAATTGAATTAAATAAACATATTCATTTTATTACAAACTTGCTTTGAATGAATATGGAGAGGAGTGGATCTCATATCTAACATGCTTTGTTTTGATCGAGATTAATTCTCTATATCTTCTCCCCCCTCTAGCCAAAAAATCTGTATCTCATAGTACTTTTTTTGTAAGAATAAAAGTAAACAGGTTTGTGCACATGCGAACTCTTCACCTTCCCCAAGACTGTGATGCCTTCTTAGCTCTTCAGAAATAACATTTTCATTTAGTTGAGTCCCAACTATTGATGTTTGCAATTTATCAATCCCCTGTCAGCAACCTTGTTAGAAACTCATCGTCACTCCGTCTTGTAACCATCACTGTAGTTGTGATGAATCACTATAACCGGATAAAAAGCCTAAACTCATCAACATCTCTTTGTGTTGGTTGCTGTAAAGAGCCCATGAGTTGCCCGAAATTAAAAAGGTGCTAGCCAAAAACAAAATTAATAGTTAATGCTTGGACATCCCTTGAAGAGTTGCTTCCTGTAACTCTGTATTTAATTTTGCTTTGTAAAACAAAAATAACCATTAGTGCTTGACCATTGGCTGATGTGGAACACTATATTCACTTAGTTTTCAAATAAAATAGAGAAACATATCAAAAACCCTTAAAAAAGAATAGGTCATGGATTTAGAGTCGTCCTAGTCACTTGAACAGATCTTCTTCAACCATATTTGCCAGATCCTGTACATCACATCTCACACCAGAAGAGACAAGCCTACACTAAGGTTAAACAATGTTGAGTGTTGCTTGAAGAGAAAATGTTTGGAATGGGACTCGAGAGAGAAAATCATTCCAACATACCTAGGTTGACTTTCCTTGCAACTGTAACGACAAAAACGTATGCAACCAAAGTGGGCCAAATGAAAGTGCTTATTTTAATGACTGATCAAGCACAAAGGAACAATCTGAGGGAGACTTTAAAAAAAAAAAAGAATGAATGAAATTATGGAAGAGAATGTACCCGAAATAGTAGAGGATGATCAATGTTCTGAACGAAAGCTAGCATCCCTTGTGCTCAAGTCCTTCATAAACATGGAAGGAAAAAGATCAAAATAGATTTTGACAACAATAGACGATTGATGCTAGGGTTTCGTGTTTCATGGAACTAAACTAAAGAGTCTTGTATGCACTCTAATATGCACCTCATTTTATGAAAAAATAGAGGAGAAATAGAGAAATTTAGAACTTCTTATGCATTTAGGAGTGTCAAAAGGTAGGGCTCTAGTGAAGGGGAGAGCATCTCATTGGTTGTTTCAAATATGACATGGAATAAAAAATAAAAAATTCAAAAAAAAGAGAAAATTCTTAGACTTCCTTTTAATGTATACACACATATTAATAAGTGTATGTGCGTTGCATGTGGCAATATCAAATGATGATGATGATAATACTTAGCAACTAAATGACCTTACTTGTGGAACCATTAACCTATTTAACCAAGAAAATGGACTATGATTAAAACATTAATTTATTTTTTTATTTGTATTTTAGCCATTTCTATTTTACTAACAATAATTCTTATTTTTCAAACATATTTTTGTTTAATATGAAAAATATAAAACATTAATGCATGTTCAAATTTTTCTATAAAATTTATAAAAAAATCTATATTTTTTTATTAATTAATTTATGAGATAATAAAAATTACTTATTTACCAAGAGGAAATGCAATTCCAATATATTGTTTGAATATTGATTTTTAATATTGCGGTCAAATCAATTATATATATCATTTATATATAATATATATGTTATTTATTATTTATTTATAAATATGTTATTTATATTATATTTTTGTAAACTTTGTATATGATGAAAATAGTTGAAAAAATACTTATATTTTCTGTTTTTCTTTATTTCAATTATTATATTTTCTTTTCCTTTTAATTGTTTATTTTTTTTAAATTAAATCGGATCATATCAGATTCGGATATTCAACGTCTTGGTCGGATTCAGATTCAAATCAATATTTATGAGATCCTATCAGACCTTTGGATCAAATTGAATTTGAATATACCTTAATTCAAATCCGACCAGATTTGTTTGCATCCCTACCAAACCACTTGCCTACAACAACCTAGCTAATTAAATCATTTAACCATTTGACATGGTTAGTGGGGCCATGTGTTAGACATTAATGCTCTTTATTTTTATCCTAATTTTTATCCCATTTCTATCATTAATGAAAATAATTCTCATTAATCACACTTTTTTATATGATGAATATATAATATTATAGAATGTACCCAAAATTATCTACAAATTTCTACATTTTCTAGAATTTTATGTATTTTATTATTTAATAATAACATCATGTGTTGATCCATTTGACATGGATAGTTGAACCACTAACCCACCACTTGGATAGAAAAACCATTTATTCTTTTTCGGTTGATTTTAAATCATGTATTACATTTTCATCATCAATAAAAGTAATTCTTATTTTTACATTTATTTTTGCACATGATAGTATCAAATGATGATAATGATAATAACCAATAACGAAAAGACCTTACTAGTTGAACCATTAATCTATTTAACGAGGAAAATGGACTATGATTAAGGCATTAATTCATTTTTTTCTTTGTATTTTAGCCATTTATATCTAACAATAATTCTCATTTTTTCAAATATATTTTTGTTTA